TTACATATTAAGATATTCAATGTTTACATGTATACATGGTGTAATTAAATATGTATAATATGGTAAATGAATATTTCATTAACTCATTTAAATCATTAAAGAAAGTTTGGCTTTCATATGATTTGTATATTTATAATAATTTATAAATTATGAATAATTTACATATAAGTAATATAATGTGTAATATTTATTTGACTTAAAAATAAAGAAAGTATAAATTTTTTGATATGAACATTTTTTTTATTTTTTATGTTAGTAATACAATGTTAAACCTTTTTTAAGTGATGATAATAATTATATTAAATATTAACCACCAGGGTCAAAAATAAAAACTACATGCTTAATGCAAATAATTTTCATGATGTATTTAACAAAAGAATGTTTGTAGTTTTGAAAAGACCAATAATATTTATTTAAAGAATTATAAAATATACTTTTAGAATATAAAATGTTTCTTCTAAAATTAATACTTTTCATATAAGAATTTAAGTTATAATTGTAAAGTACAGGTTTACCTAATAAAAATGAAATTATTTTATTAAATATATTTTGCAAACTTATAGTTTTAAAATCTTGAGTTATTTTCATAGTATTACGAATGTAATAAAAATAAGTCGAATCTAATTTCAAACGACTTGATGGTTTCATATATACCTGTAAAAACTTACAATTGAATTGAATAATGTTAAAATGTTGAAAATTTTCAATGACCTTTAATAAATTTATTTTACTTTGGATTAACATATGTTTTTTTTTATTTTTATTATTTGAATTTTTGTCTGAAATGATTAAAGAATTTGAATAAAGGTTTTTGATATTAATTAATGCTGGTGCTATAAAATTGAAATTTTGTACTTGTTTGTTTGACTCTACTTTCTGTGTTAAACTATTAGATTTATTTAAATTTGGAAAAATAAAATTCTCAATTACATATTCTTCATCTGCTGCTTTATTTTCAACAATATCATTGAACTGTAAATTATTATATGGTGTTATTATTTTAGAAACTTGTTTGTGATCAGAACTAATTAAATGAGATAACATATTAATTGTTTTGTCTTCCATATCTACAACGGCTGACTTACTTTCATGTGTATGCGTATTAGTGTTTAAAATTGTGTTATTTAGTTTTTCATTATGTTTTGTTTTTATTGACAAATTATTTTCATTAATGATTAAATTATTAATGCCAATATTATTGTCAACATCATTGGCAATATTATTGTATTGTTTTTTGTTTATGTGTTTAAAAATAGATTCTTTTAAATTGTCTATAGATTCAAATTCTGTAAAATTTATTGTTTTTAAAGGAATATCTCTTGATGGTTTATTTGATTGTGTTCCTGGAATCCAGTGTGTATTTTTATCTACATTGTATAGGACTATAGGTGGGCGATTACCTAAACCATAAATAATTCCAGTTTTATCTGTATCATTAAAAATATATGTGTCATGATTGTAATAATTTGCAATAGCTGCTAATTCATCGTCACTAAACCAATAATTAGGTAAATCAGATAATTCTAAAAGTTCTAAAATTTCAAATACTGAAGTTACTTTTTCAGTTTTCCCGTCATTAAGTGCATTAATAATTGCAAAAAATCCACAATTGTTTTCACTATAAATATTTTCTCCCTTTTTATAAGATTCAAAAATGTTTAAGTTAATATTATTATTCTGATTATAATTATTGACTTTGCTATTGACATTATCACTATTGTGAGTGTGATTATCAGTATTGTTTGAATTTCTTTCGTTGTAAAATTGTTGAATTGTATTTATGACTGAAAAATGTTCTTTGGTTTTCCAATCATTAGTAATATATTCATTATCTTTATGACATATTAAAACATTAATGTTAGTGTTTAAAAAAGTTGAGAAGATCATTTGTTTAATTATAGTCCATTCTTTTTTATCTAGACCTGATGCTATTCTAGGCATTGCAATGTAATTATCATGATGTTTTATCATTTGAATTTTTAAGTTGTTTAAAGCCTTTTCAATATTCATATATTCTGGCTTTTCGAAATA